CCACTCGGATTTACGCCAGTGTCTTGCTGAGCGCAGGCAAAACTCTCAGGAAACACCTAAACTTTATGCAAACCAACTCTGGAGCAGATCTGAGCCGTCTCTCAAATCTGAGTTGTGTTGTGGGATCTTTGCCCAGGGTCGGGACAAGATGAATTATTAATAAATTAGTCAGTTATTACCAGAGAGGGTGTGCCGTGCATGAAAAACAACAAATCCCCCGCACCTGAAAGAGGAGGCATCTCTCACAGACCTTGACTGAAGTCCAGGTGTACGGAGGTGTCAGTGGAGCAGGTTCTGGTTGTGAAAGATTCTGGTCATCAAGTTAATCTGTTGTCATCAGTTCCTGGGGCTGACTTCTGAAAGCGTATAAAAGCCCTTCCATTTGGGAGGCTCATCAATCCGAGCAGCTCCTGCTCCCCTTTCTCCAACAGCAGGAGACGCCAGGTGAGTCCTTCCACGCACATCTCGGGGTTCTGGTGCCCTTGTTCTTGGGGGACAGGGTGATTTTTTTTTTTTCTTTATTTTATTTCTCTAGTAACACTTGCAGCTCATCTCCCTGGCGATTTAATCCCTATACGAGTAAAAGCCGTATTATGTTATTTTGAGACTTTCTGAGGCTCTGGCTGGTGGCTTGCTGACTCTTCGGGCCAGCAAACCCTCGCCAGCCCTCATAACATTTTCCCAGCTGATAAGAATCCTTGTGGATAACCATCGGGTATGGTGTTATCACCTACCAAAGGATGGCATCTACCGGCAGCTTGTTTTGCATCTGTTGAGCAGCCGTGGGCTGGTCACTGCAATCTCCTGGATCTCCAGGGCTCTGAGTTTCACTTCTCTGCAAAAAATCACTGAACAGGAAGGACAGTTCACCTGCATTTTGCTGCCGGAGACATGGCTCCTGCTCCGAGGCTCACAACGAACTGAGCAGAGATGTGGTTGTTGCCAGACAGGGTTGTTGTCAAATGAATTTTTTTTTCTCTTTCAAAACCGTTCGCAATACTGAAACGTCACCAGCTTTCTGCTCCTCTTTGGTTTTAAATATTGCTCTGAGGTTCTCCCTAGATTAAGCACGCTTTCCTTGAAATTTTTATTGCTTCTTAGCTTGTTAAAGCTGAAATAGTCCGAAGATAGCGAGCAGAGGGAAAGAAGGAAAACCCCTCTCGTGGTTTCTCTTCCCTCCACCTCTGTAGCCGTTTTGCTGTTTGGATCACGGCTTTGTTAGAATGTTTTTGCCTCTTACATTGATTTAGACTTACATACAGTTACGCCTTGAGGCCTCAGCAGAGTGGCTGATCTCCGCAGAGTCTAACTGTGATGGGAGCCCACAGGAGCACTATGGGGCGACTACAGCAAACTGGAGTCACCAACACATTTGGTCTGAACAGCTGGATTCTCAGGGATTTCCATGTTGTTTTTGTTTGTTTGTTTGTTTGTTTGTTTATTTTTTGGGGGGTGTTTGCTGGTAGGATTAACTTTTAAAAGCTCTCCGCTGTTGGTTTGATGT